CACCTGCAGTGGGCCCTAAGTTAAAATTCAGCCGTTATGGCAGACTGATTAAGCCTGTGCTAGATAACTGATTTCTGTCGTGGGAGTCCCTTCTGGGTGTTCGGGGGGGGCAACCACAGTCAAAGAACTACGTTCTTTCCTTGGCCTGTGTAATTTCAATAGGGCATAGGTAGAATCATACAGTAAAATAGCCCAACCCCTAAATGATCTTTTGAAGGGTCAGAGAGACTCTAAAACACACATAGTTTTGGAGCCAAGGGAAAAGGAAGCTTTCCTGTCTTTAAACAGAGCTCTATGTGGAGCACCTGCTCTAGGTATCCCTAACACTGAGATGCCTTTTACATTGTATGTCAATGAAAAAGATGGTTACATGACTGCTATTTTAACTCAGGAGCATGATGACTTGCAAAGGCCTGTCGGATACTACTCTGCTAAGTTAGACAGTGTGGCACTAGGATTTGGACCATGTTTGTGAGCAGTACAAGCAATTTTCCTGGCCATTGCAGGCTGTTGCAGAATTCCCGTGCCCGATCTCAGTTAAGGCACTGCAGGAGTTTTTGGGCATGGTTAATTTTTACAACCGGGTCCTGCCTCGGCTTTCGCTGCGTATGTAGATCATAAGCCGTTAACGTTTGCGATGTCCAAGGTTACTGAGCCATGGTCTGCTCGCCAGCAGTGCCACCTGGCCGCCATTTCAGAGTTTACTACAGACATTGAACACGTGGCTGGTAAGGCCAACCCGGTGGCTGACTGTCTGTCGCGGGTGCTTGTGTGCCCAGTGCATCTCGAGTTGGATTTCCAGTCCATGACTGCGAATCAGCTTAGCGATCCAGATGTCATAGCCCTCAAGTCTGCGGTTACGGGCCTCAAGTTAGAGAGTGCGGAGGTAATGGCAGGCGGCCCCCAAGCTCCTCTGCGACATCTCAATGGGTCGACCACGCCCTGTGGTACCAGCAAACTGGCGTCGCCAGGTTTTCGAGGCAGTTCACTCCCTTCGCACCCGGGAGTCCGGGCGTCGGTCAAGCTGGTGGGGTCCAAGTTTGTGTGGCCTGAGTTCCGCAAAGAAGTTAAGGAGTGGGCAGCTGCCTTACAATAAAAAATTAAATATATCTTATTTTATTGACAAATCCCAAATCCCAAGCTGTAAATATTGAATGTTACTGTAGAAGCACAAAACAAACTTTTGGCCTTATTCTACTGTCTGCTCTTTTTCTAACCTTTTTTGAAGCAGAGGTTCTGAGTTTGTGATTCTCAAGACTCTCATGATTGAAATATTATCTTTAAGAGCAAAAATGTTTTTTGACATCTCTCTGGGTTTACAGTGATAGTTCAGGGGTCAACAAAAAAGAGCATCAACTCTGTCAGTCGACAAGAACTCAGGGCAAAGGAAATGAGCAGAATCATTACAGATAAAAAGAGAGAGGAGCAGAGAAGAAGGCAAGGAGGAGAGATTTAAGACAGCATGAAAAGAACAGTGGTGTAAAGCAAAGGAAGACAGAAGATGGGAGATCTACTGCTGCCAGATCGAAGACGGGTGTGAGGAATGCACGGTGAGAGGCAGTGTTATCTCTCTCACAATGACAGGGCTCTGTTTAACTTCAGAGAGAGAGATGCTAAGCTACAAGCTTACAGGTTGAGAAAAGCCCTTCTTCACGCTGCAGTCAACAATGGTGATTGAACAAGCATTCATCCTTATTTTAACACCCTGCTGCTGCTGCTGCAAGAGCTGCTGCTGGTCATGCACAACATAATGCATCTTGCAAACAACATTAAAAATAAAACATTTTATAAAAATATAAAACTCTACAATGAACATCTAATAAACTCTGTTTTCACCAGTTTCTTGATCTTTCTCAATTGTTGGAATGAAATTAAACATGAAAATGAAGAGTTTTTGCCGATGTACAATATGCAGATATTGTCCAAACACTTAATTTCTGATTCTAATATTAACCAATACCGATATAGTGGCATTGGTGGCCTGCTGGTTTTTCACACATCATTTTGCAAAACATGGTAGCTTCTGTTCAATATGGAAATGACTGTGTGGAATGCTATGAGAAATAAGACTATTTTAAAAAAAACTGATAACCTTGTGTTAAAATAGTTTACATTTTTCTGTTGTGTGAATACCATGATCACTCACAATATACAATATCTTCTCCATTACATTGTGTTGCTACTTGTTTCAAAATAGTCCTGTCAGGGAGGCAGAGTTCCTCAATATTGCATCTAAATTAGTCACATGAGGAGTGTTCTATACTCAATTATACACAATGAGAGATACCAGGACATCACTTCTCTACACGAGTGAAAAAGACTGTGGAGAGGAGAGAGGAGAAAAAGGAGGAGGAGGAGCAGAAGAAGGAGGAGGAGGAGGATGCAGAGGAAGCCCTTCTCTTTAAGTGACATACTAGAGTGAAATTATATCTTGACTTACAACAAAAGCTGTTACATAAAGCAACGTGTCCTTAAATGCACTGAGTCTGACACAGCGCTGACTGTTGTCTCGGTGGTCTCCCTCTGCAACACCACCTTTGTGTTGAACAGATAAAAGAGGAAAATGTATAAGAAAAGTAATTGCCCTCATTATCCAGACAAATGGATATAAATGCTACCTTTCTCTCCATATCGTATACCATTCCACTGCATGAGCGCTGCACATTATTTATAAACTTTCAAAATGTCAGCCACAGTTAAACTCTAGAACTAGAACATTATTCACTGATTAGCCAGGCAGTTAACCTCCCCTTTTCATCTCCCGAGTTATTTAACTAAAAGGACAGCATTATTTCTTAAACCAAATAACGAGGCTGTACAGAAAAGATGACTGTCCTTTTTTTTTAATGCCACTGTTGCCAGTGTAAATGCCTCAATGCCTTCACTGGTTTAAAGCCTCAGCGTGCACGTTTGTGCACTGCTCGGCCTCAGAACCAAAGTTCATTAAGAATTCATAGTGAACTGTGGTAGATACTATAGAACTAATTTAGATTTAATGTCTTCCTTTAGCAGAAGATATGGTCTTCATATGGGTTTAGAAATTATCTGACTTCAGTCTTTTAAATCCTGTAGGTTTTTTTTTCTTTATTTAATACGGTAATAAACCTAACACCTTCAAAAGCATAAGCTGTTGTCACTTTTTCTGTTTGTGTCACCTTCTATGTTGGTGTAACAGGCAACAAAACTATTGTATTACCTTTTAGGGTAAGTGGACAAGATGCCTCATAAAAAACGTGGACAGATTTTCCCAAACCTTGTAGGTGTATTACCTCAGAGGTCAGATAATTACATTTAGGAGTCAACTGAAGTCAAAGACAGGAGAAGTAAACACACCTTTTATCCTTGTAGATAACAAAGAGAAGGAGTTAAAAATATACTTTACTCCAAGAAACTCTGTGTTTGTGGCTGTAGACATGAACATGCATACATTTAAACAGAACTGTTTATCTGATGCAAATGTAACAGATTTTTTGTTTTGCCATATGATTTTGTTTGATTCCTTTATAGATCAAAATCATATAACATTTTAGCTATGCTAAAATAATATCATACACATTATGGTGCGGGTGGTCTTTTGACTTAAAAAAGTACTTCCTCATGGTAATAAGTGAAATAATATGTAATTTTTATCAGCAGCGTAAAAAGATACAAAATTACTCTGCAGTCAAATAATGTGTTCAGGGTCCAATAATATTGTATAATATAAGTTCCTCAGAATACGAATCTATCTATTGCTTTTCTTTTTTTCTCACAACCCAAAAAAAATTAATAATAATCCGTTTAAATACATTCACATAACTCACATTATCAAGTGAAAGTTTTTTCTTTAGTCAACTAAAATGATACTTATTTATTTTTCAAATGTTACCTTTTGTGCAGTATCATTTATTTTGTCCCCTAGGAACAAAAAATCATGTTAGTGTGAAGTTTTACTATTTAGTGCTTAGTATCGGGCTATAAGTGATAACAGCTATGTAAATTCAGAGGGAGACAGAGAGACAGCATCAGATTATCTGCTCTGCACAGCTGCTGCTGCTGCTGCCACTGCTGCAGCTGACAACAATAATGCTAAAGAATATTTCACAATCCCTGCTATTGTGCTCTGGTGCATTCACAGAAGTGTGAATCAGTGTGAGTTGCTGGAACCCCTCTGAGATTCTAGAGAATTAACATGTACATGCAGTATGTCTGTGGGTTATATGACCAGCAGCAACATGGTGATCACATGAGGTTCCAGTGTTTGTACTAATCCTACAGACACTAACACTGGGAGCTGCTGATATGGAAAAAAAAGAATGCTGGTGCCGCAGATATGTTCAATATCATTACAACTGAAGGTGGGTCTGTATCAATGGAGCATCACAAATATGTATCACCTTGATATGTATATGTGCATGTCCACACACAAACACAAACACAAATCAACTCTACACCTACAGCATTTAACAGTGGAAATAGAAGGCTGGTCTTCCTTAAACAGGAATGATGGAGTCTGCCCCCCGCCCGGGGAGACAGAGATGATTGTGTTAGCCATGCTTGACAAAATCAGTGGGTATTGACTTTGACAGATGCTCAAGTGAAAGCCATTGAGTCCTGAACCAAATCTAAACATATGACCATGATCCACCTTAAGGTACATGACATATGTACTATAATAAAAACATGCTTGTTAACGGGTGCACAAAGGGAGTATTGGTAAATCATGATCAATTAAAACAAAAATTAAAAATTTAGAAAAATATAGATGTCATTCTATTTTTAGTTGAAAACTGTATGACTAAACCACCAGTACTGAATCATATTGTGACATACAGCAATATGTATGTAATCAACGTACCTCAACATATCATGCATTTTTATATAAAGTATTCAGTTTATGTTTGTAAATATATAAAAGAAAAAGTTTGATTTTTGTTTGTTACTTGTTTACCTTAAAAAATATCAGAGTAAGATCAGTGAGCTAAAACATGCTTGTGTTCATGTATGAAAGTGATGCTCACCAGCTCCTTCTTCTTCATGCACTCCATCAGGATGATGAACAGATGTTGGGCCTGAGTGCGGCTGTAGGTGAATGTCTTCTGAATAGTCACCAGCAACTGGTCTCTGAGAGACTCATTAATTATGCTGCAGAGGCAGAAAGAAGTTGGGACAGAGGTGTGGAGGAAAAATGACAACAAGATGTCAGAGAGAGCAAAAGGGATGAGAGCAGGGGGAAGAGGAGCTAGGTCTTTCTGGACTTGGTCTTTAATCTCTAAGAATATTTATTCATAAAAGAAAAATCACTGAGTGTCAAACTACAATAGGTGAAGAATAATGATTTTATTTTTCCTCAAGTTTTCTTCAAATTGGTGAGATGGATTTGTCAGTGAAAAAAGAAAGAATGAAAGACTGGCCACACCACAGTAATCCAACATCAATTGATGGATAAGACAAACAGAAAACAAACAAATCTCTTAAGCAAAGCTTTTTCAAAATTACTAATCTTTGTCCTTTTTATAGTGGACTACAGAGTTGTTGTTTCCCTTTTGCACATCAGGGGAACACAGGAATTACCTTTATTTTACATTGTAGAATTAATTGTTTACCAATTTAGTCAAAAAAGTAAAATTTAGCATTTTCTACTTCTACAATTTATAAAGCAACTCTCTGTCTCTCTGAAATAATGTCAACACTCATCAACACTCAACAATGCATGTTCTTCAAAAATATTTTGTTTAAATGTAATTTTTCACTCTCTTTGGTGTTTTACTGAATTGACAGTAAAGTTCCTAATATCAATACTTTTTTGTTAAATTAAATATCAAGATAAATATGCATACCCTCCGTCTTCAGAAAACTTGTGTCCAAAAGCCAGAATGTCTGAGGCTCGGCCGCTCCCATCACACACAACCACAGGGACCGGAGGCGTGTCCCTGAGGTACTCCAATACGATAGAAATGACATTTGGACCTCCCTCCACAATCAGAGCCACCACCGGTACGCCCTGTCCAATACCTGCACAGGAGGAGAGTCATAGCAGGAGGAATTAGAGGAGAAAGAAACATTTAAGAGAGGAGAAGTCAAATTTCAAAGAAGCAAAGATTGAAAAAGTCAGGTGTATTCTTCATTGTATCACACAAATATTTGCATTGTTGACTGAAAAACTAATTCCAGAATTATAACCTTTTACATTGCTAAATGTGAGCTAATGGTATTCTACACTGACTAATTATAGAAGAGGGTTTTCTTTTCATGAATCTGTACTAAAAATAAATCTTCTGTCTTCCAGAGCTTTGTTCTTAGGCCTGTGAAACATGTGTGTGTATATATGAAGTGTTTCAGTGATAACACTCCCCCTGTTTCACACAAAAGACTGCTAGGTGCCGGCTAAACGTGGGCTATTTCAAGTAATTACGCATAATTAGCAGATGCACGTACAGGAGACGACGCTCATGATGAGAAAACTCTGAGGAATTTTCCTGTTGTTAATCCCACTCCTCTATTTTTAGCTACTGATGTTTTTCTCTTACACCACAACATTACACACACAATAAGCCCTTTACTATTTTGACCCTATACCAGTTTTGTCCTTAAGTATTTTCAGATTTGTCTTCCCCGTTTTCCTCAGTTAACTCTGTTCCCTCATCTGCCGCCTATTTAGACTCCTCTAATTCAAAAGATGTGTAACTACACCATTATCTATGCACATCACTGTCTAATGCATCTGTATAATTCACCCAGGAAAAACTTTTGTCTTTTGCACGCACACATACAAACCCAGGCGTGTGCACACGTTTTGAGTTATCTCTACTGCTTCTGCCTGCTCTGGTTCTGTAATGGGAGCAGTTACATAAGGAGGTCCCTGATAACTTCAAAGAGGCAACCAATGTCACTGTGACACCACACATTACATGACTGCACCCAGCACAGACAGAATGAGGGAGAGTGATGAGTGGGCCTTTGTGCCTAATTCTTCAATTTGTGAGTGAGCAAGACAGAGAGAGAGAGAGAGAAAGAGAGAATGAAAGATAGAGAGAGAGAGAGAACGAAAGATAGAGAGAGAGAAAGAAAGAGAGAGAGGGAGAGAAAGAGAAAGAAAGAGAGAAAGAGAGAGAGAGGGAGAGAGAGAGGGGGGGGAAAGACAGAAAGAAAGAGAGACAGAGCGGGAGAGAGAAAGAGTGAACGAAATAGAGAGAGAGAAAAAAAATTGGAGAGAGAGAGAGAAAAAAAATTTGAGAGAGAGAGAGAAAAAAAATTTGAGAGAGAGAGAGAAAAAGAGAGAAAGAGAGAGAGAAAGAAAGAGAGAGAGGGAGAGAGAGAGATTTTGTGGTTTTGCCAGAAAGACTATTGATATTGATGACAGGTAAAGGTTTGGAGGCAAAGCTGCTGTGTTTACAGATTAATGTTCTATTGAAACACAGCACGGAGGAGAAGATGAGGAGGAGAAGGAACAGCTGTGTCAGAGATAATTGAAAAAAAAAAAGAAACAAGTTGAGAAATGTGTCATTACATCAACAGGAATAACAGGTTATGGAACAATTTTTAAAGACAAAACAAAAACAAAGTTATTCTCAGCACAACATTTTGAATGTTTTACTCTCATACACATTGTTAGTCTTTTCTATTTCTATATCTGTCAAAAATAAAACTGCCACTTTGCTTATGAAATGTAATAATGACTTTAAAAACCAGGATTATTTTATCATCTTTACCTTTACTGTATATCTGGACAGCTGGTGGTAAGACCAGTTCTCCCTGCCCTTTCTCTCCTAACTGTGATCTTTACTACAACATCTCCAGAAGTTTCTGCCAGACATCTGCCTCTGGTCTCCCTCCTCTTAGTCTTCCACCACCTGTCCCTTGTTCCACACTCTATCAGTTCTTTCTTTTCTCCACCTCTCCTCCCTGCTCAATTTTCACCTTTAACCCCAGACAGAGGTGAATGTTTTCTGTCTGGATCCACCAGATGTTTGGATCCGGTAAAAATCTGATTTTTCTCTTCTCTATGGGTACTGATGGCTCCATCCTTCTGGGATTTGTTTTTTTCTACATATTCTTCTGACCTGTGTAAATACATACATACATACATACATATATACATACATACATACTTACATACGTATATATATATATACAGTACATATATATATATATATATATATATATTCCATTATGAGTGGTTCTTTGTCAGTGGACTGGACTGAAGAAAGTCCAATTCTGCCACATTTGAATAATAATGACTTTAAGTAACTGTTTTGTAACAGCTAATGTAAAATACATAAAGAGGGTTATACTCCATCTGTAATTATCCCTTTTTTGAAAATATTACAGTAACATCAATTTAAGCCAGTTACTTAGATACTTTCACAATATCATCAGTTACTACATTTTAAACATGCAAATATTCTGTCATGGCTGATGTTGAAGAATCACTTCCACCTGGTCTTTTTAGATAGACAGAACTTTAATGAATCTTCAGCAAATTAGGAATAAATCTGTCCTCCCTGGATGCCCGTGTGACAGGAGAGGATACTCACCACTATACTAACGAGAAACGGTACGAGAAGCCTCCACAGTGCACAGTTATATCAGAAGTCTTTCTTGACACAACCTGAATTTTGTGGACTGTGGTATCTAACCTACAGCCTTCTTATGTAGGTGGGAGACCCTCCAGCTTCCAAAGTGCCACTCCCTTCACACACCAAAAATAATCCTGCCCAAAGTTTTACCTGCTGTCACCTCCATCACAGCTATAACTGTTTCCTGAGGTGAAGTCAGGCCTTTGAACATTGTTCACTGTAAAGTGCTGCTTCTGCTGAACTTGCAATCTTTTACTTTTCCATGTAATCCTGTCGTTGTTGAAAAGCTGAGTCCTTCAAATTGTTAAATTTGTGTAGGTGGATTTACTGTCTAAACTTTAACTTTATATTAAATAAGACAGTCCAACAGAGCAGGAGGATACATCTGGTCAGCACTTTCAGATGGATCCTACTGTTGTAAACACCCATAGATGGATTTATCATTTTCTTGGGGAGATTTGCTAATGATGCATTTCTTCAAAGTGGAGTCTTAGGTGTTTATTACCCAGAAGAAAAAGAAGTGAAGAAAACTGCGTCACCAAAATGTAATAATCAGCCAGAGTACTTTACGATAGTACAGAATTTTCAAAAAAGAAATGCAAAAACAATACAAAAGCCAACTTTAACCCCCTCAAGAACATGACTATTTACTGCGCCTATACAGCGACTGACCAGCGTCTAAAAATTAATATATATAATAATTTGAAGCCCCACACATGAAATGTCATGATAAGTTTTAAGGATGTCAATATCAAGTCTGTTTTGGGTCTTTCAATCATCAGACACCCTCACCCAGGCGACCCCACCTGAGGTGATCAGACTCTAGCCTGTGTCCCAGCTGCATTTGCCCATGGATGGATTTGCCCTTTTGATCCAAAGCCATCTTGTGGCTTTCTCTGCAGCTTCAGTTGCAGATCTGATGGCCTTCCTCTTTGCCTCCCCTGTGAGGCCCAGCATAGTGAGGACTTTGCAGAGGGACCGTCGTGCAAATCTCCGGCAACCCCCCTCCAGGGGTTCATAGTATTTCTTCCAGCCTTGGCTCCTGCACTCATCCACCAGCTCCTGGTACTTCGCACACTTCCTCTCAGTGGCCTCTTCCATGTGCTCTTCCCAGGGAACTGCGAGTTCCAGAATGATCAGCTGCTTAGTGGAATCTGAGTCAATGATCATATCTCGTCAGAGCCTTATGGATGTAATTCTGGCTGGAATCTTCTGCCTCAATCGCGACTCTACCACTTCCAGAGCTTCGTCTGCCCTCCATTTCCTGCCTGTTTTTACCTGGATGCCAACTGATGCCACCTTCACATCCCTGGATTCCCTGTATTGCAGGAGTTCCCGTGTTCTGGTCACCATGAACTCTTCAGTGAGTCCGCTGAATGGGAGCCGCAAGATGTTACTACTTCCGTACAGAGCAGCACTGCTCAGGCTGCGGGGTAGGCCAAGCCATCTTTGCAAGTAACTGCTGATCCTTCTCTCCATGGCCTCGACAGTTGTCATGGGTACTGTACACTAGCATAGGCCACAGGATCCAGGGCAGGACTGAATGTTGGTAAATCCAAGCCTTAAATCTCCCTGGCAGGCCTGATTTGTCAACACTCCTCGGCCAGTCCTCGAGCTCCTTGCTGGTTCTCTGGATGGATGTGGAATCTTTGAGGCTGCAATCAAAGTACTTCCCGAGGCTCTTAACTGGCTGCTCTGTGATGGAAGGGATGGTGGCTTCAGCCAGAGAGAAACATAACCTGTCTGTTACCTTTCCCCTCTTGAGCACTAGAGACCTGGATTTTGCTGGCTTAATTCTCATCCTTGCCCATGTGATGAGCTTCTCTAGGCCTTGGAGAATCCATCTACTGCCCGGGACAGATGTGGTGGTGACAGTTAGGTCATACATAAAAGCTCTTATAGGGGGCTGGCGTACTCCAGATTTTGTCAAGGGTCCCCTACACTTCACCTCTGCTGACTTAAAGATCATGTTCATGGTGAGTGCAAACAAAATGACTAAGATTGTGCAGCCTGTTATTATGCCTTTCTTAAGTCGGTGCCAGTCTGATGTCCTGACCGAGCAGTGACTCTTAGCCTAAAATTGTTATAGTAATCCTGGATAAGGTCTGTAACTTTGCTGGGAACATGATGTCGCAGGGGCTGAACAAGTTTGTGAGGTATGGAGCTGTGCGCATCGGCAAGGTCCAGCCAGAGTACGGTAAAATCTCCTTTTCCTTCACGGGCCTCCCTGATGAGCTGGGTCACCACGCCAGTTTGTTCCAGACAGCTAAAACACACACACTAAAAAACATTTCTTCCCACAGTAATACATGGAGGTGTAAGTTTAATATTTTGACGACATTTGTAAATAGAATTTCTAGTTAGTTATCAAAGTGTGTTAAATCATAATCTGCTTGTAAGGAACACATACTCCTTTTTTGAAGACTTTGCTCTGCA